ATGAAACATCGTTCTATGAAGTGATTTCCACCGCTGCCACCTCGCCTTCATCAAATTATTTTTGAAGTATCGTTATTAACGCTTATTTATTAATATCACCGAAGTAACTTTTGTAATGCTACACTCTAAAAAAAAGTCTAGTCATAAAAGAACCCTTAGAAGCTCTTCGGTGTGTCCGTATTTTTCACCCTAAAAGTTTTTTTTAAGCAACCTCTTATAAACATCTTTATAAAATACCAAAAAGGGGTTCTTTTAATTTTATTTTTTATGTGAAGAAGTTCTTCATCGCCCAGTTGCCTTTCTATAGTGCGCCAGGGGGCGGTTGTGCTTGAGCCGAAACCGTTCTTCGTGAGCTGAAAAAGTTATTGGGGCATCGAAGAACCTTTTAAGATTGGATTTTATTTTTTTTTAGTTTAGCAATGTCGGTCATTTTGTCACCCCCGGCAAAGGCTATAATTGCCTGCCGTTTAGTAATGTTTCTCGATACGGCTTCCTTGTCCGCTAATAGTAGATAATGGTCCGGTGTTTGTCAGTATACAGGCTCTTCAAAAAACTTCCTGGACCGAAATATCCTCAGTCAGATGTTTGCACCACCTTAGTACCTGCCTGAAGCAGTGTCACTGACCAAACAATTAAAACAACACCAACACAAAAAATTCCTGGTTGTTTGCTTTTTCATGCCAATGAACTGTGCTGACAGCCGAGATACTGCACACTGTTGCACTTTCTGCACACAGTTACACTATGATGTCAGGAACGCGTCTTGGACTGGTGTGTTTACCGCGTCCACATAGGTGGTCCCTCCATTTCCTCCTCATGACGTCATAGAAGAGTCATGCTGCCGCCGGCCGCGATCCTGGCGGTGTGTCTCTGCAGCGGTGGTGGATGCGACAGACGCCTGTACTGCTGCAAGTCACTCTCGGGTCATTCCATGCCAAAGGAGACGCGGCAATTTTTTTCACGTGTGGCATATGTGCGAACACTATAATACGGATAAAGACGCTTCTGAATTCAAAAAAAAGTATTTTGTGTGAATTTTTTTTTTTTTTTTATTTTAGCTGATATGCTCTGGAATTTGCATAAAACCCACGTAGTTAAGATAAAGATTGTGAATAAACGGTTGCGTAATACACAAATTTAGGAGGGCCCCTAATTTTTTAATAATATACCCTTTTCTACAATAAAACACAAACCCTAAATGACGCCATTTTGAGTCCAAATAGGAGCTCCAAAAAATAAAAAGAAACTAGGATATTTTTTTTTTTTGTCAAGATGGATTTTTTGTGTAAGGTAAAATACTTTTTTGGTATGTTCTCATAGGACTAATAATTGAATTGCATGTGTTAAAGTTTCGAAGGCTAATTTTGTTGCGTTTTAATTAAATGACAAAATCTCCAGTATAAAGAAACGGCCACAATGAGAGCGAGAAAAAACAAACGAAAAACGATGTGGGTAGCGGTGCCCGAAACTTTCGAAATAATCAAAAATTCAATCCACCTCGTCCATTGAACATCTCAAAAAATTGCAAAAGTACTTTTTGTTGTTTCCGAGAAATTTTTTTTTTTTTTTAAAGATGAGCTTCTCCGCCCATGCCTCCAGGCGCCCTCCTCGGAGGCGACGGACACCGGTGTGAGGTATCGCCGCAAGGTCTTCAGCGCTCTCCTGAAGGCACGTTTTATTAAGTTGAAGTGGACATTATCCTGACTTCCGTGCATCCGTATCCTCTTCACGGTACGTAATAATACTGGCGTCTTAATTTTACTCTACTTCTGTCCAGGTAATTGCCGACGAACGCCGGCCCGCGTCGTCTGCTTCCCGAGTTTTGAACTGCATACTGCGCGTCGGTCTCGTCTGTAGTATATCCAAATATAAGAACTATTCAGACCGGATAGCCCGTTACCGATGAGAAATGATAACGGTGATGTCATTTCTCTTTTGAACTTAAATGTACTTGTGCAGATTTTGAGACTCCGGAATATGGTGTTGAAAATTTTTAATTGGATATCACAGGAAAGGGGGAATAGGGAAGGGAAGGAAAGGGATGTCAGAAGGATTGAGAAAATGTGTTCCCTCATTCCAGGGATCCAATTGCGGCTTGGGCATGCAGCCTGCGGGTCACCAGCCACTTTTCCACACCGATGACGTAGCTCTGTAGCCTTGCTTCCCACTCTTGAGAAGAAGGCTCCACTTGTGGAGCCAGACCGAGGACCTCCTGTTGTGCCTCCAAGTAATGTGATGCACGTCCGCGCAGGGTTCATCACAGAAGAGGCAGTCTCCCGAAGTGTACCGGTCGGGGTACCACTGGTGCAACTTGGTGGGGGTCACAAAAGGGTCCGTCTGTAGCCTTCTCCAGGCGTACTCTTCTTTTTTCCTTAGTCCCCCGCACGGGCCTGAGAACACGCGCCTGTCTAGCTTCCGCGCTTTGAGTACCTCGTTAAACAAGAGGTCCGGGTTCACCAGCCCGCCCGACTGAGACGAGTCCCGGAGAATAGAACCTCGGGCCGCAGCATTTGCTGCCTCATCCCCAGTGTTATCCGCGTGGCCAGGAGACCAGGCAAGTTGCACCCCCTGTAGTTTAGCCTTACTAAGTATTCTACCCGCAACGGCGCACACCACCCCGCGAGCGAAATTTCTACAGTCTTTTTGTGAGTCAGAGAGGACTGTTGCCCTGGGGTTGTAAATGATCACCAACACGATCACCGCTTGCTCACCCTGCCCAGGCGAGTCGACTCTGACCTAAGCTAATCCTAGAACCCGACCCTGGGCATCCATCACTGCGATTGCGGCGACTCCGTGCGCTGGGCCGCAGCATTAACACAGAGCGTTCCGTCTCTGTGATCCCATGTCCTAGACAGGGCCTCAGATCTGGTCTTTCTACTGCCGCCATCTCTCCCTTGGAATACGACTAACAGATATTCTCCTCCTTCTTTTCTGCCGACAGCTCCTCTACTAGAATTATAATTAATAAGCTTGAATTATTGCTATATATTAAGTTTTATGAAGTTTCATTTTAAAGGGCAGTGTTGGTCACTCAGCTATTTCCAAAGCAACTGCACTCAATTCTCTAAATTCTAGAATTATCTCCAATTACTACCCGTGAAGGTTATCTTTTTTTATTATTTTGTTTTGTTTTTATTTCTAGTGTTAACTAAATATTCTGTCTGAAACCGGGTTTTTTCTGGTTTATGGTTAAGCCAAAACTGTACGGTCTCAGAAGCGACGGCAACACTGGCTATCCGCTGTGACGGCAGCGAGATGACTTTTGTGAGGTGGTGCGACGGCTGCCTCGATTTCACAAAAATTAGCTGCTGCTTGATATATCTGTATGCGCAACAAATCAACCGTACAAACTCAAGAAGCAGCTTCTATCTTCAGCTGAAACAGAATCGAAAGTACGCGGAGAAAACATGGCTACACTAAAATGAGGAAACGTGACTCACACAAATGCGCCCAGCGCGCGTACAGGATTCGCTCTCACTTCCCTCCCCTACTTTCTTACAACGCTTACTATTGCTACTACTGTTACTTCAAAGCTGACCTCCTGAAAGCGTGCTTCAGATATGATGATAGCAATTCTGTGTGGTTTTTTTGTTGCATAGATTCCTACGGCATTTTATTCTAATTTGTGACGTTTTGGTTATAATCTTATTCCGTCTAACTAAAGCTATAACAGCGTTTTATCTTGGTCTGAGTCTTGAAAGACTCAGACTCCCCCTCAAAGGCTCCCCCAGCACACGGGAAACAACGTCTGTGTGTAATCACCTGTTCATTATATCGACAGAAATACCTCTAGAGTAACGTCGGAAATAATTCAGGAGCTGCAAAGCATTTTTTGGAAAAGCAAGGTGACAAATCTTTACAGGAAAATTATGTAAATATTGAAGATACACCTTCATAATGAAATTCTTTTCGCAGTCGGTCTAAGGAAAAGCAGAGCTCCAATAACGAATAAAGATATCTTCCAATGAGTTGTAATATACACATATATTAAATATAGGTTTATCTCCATCATAACACATATGAATACGTGATACCGCACTGAACAAGCAGGCCAAAAAAAAAACAGAAGCAAAAAAAAGGTAATGTATTTTTTATTAAAAATTGAAAACGTGCATATTGATGACGATTTTCACAATATCTGAAAGAATTAGAAATTGTAAGGAAAATATCAAGCAGTATGATGAAGATTATTGCTAAACTACTAATTTCAGGTTGATTCAAATAGTGCTTTGCGTCACCAGAAACGTTATCGTGTAGTTCGCTTTGTAGCATGTATGACCTTTTTTTTTCTGCACTTGGATATTCAGTGGATTTCTCTCGAAGCAGAACGATTCCCACCATTCCTACCAGACTGGTCCTCTATATATAGCTTCTTTTATATGGTACTCACCCCCACGATCAGAAGTTTCAGTATTAATTACTCCGGTTGGTTTTATGTGAGAGCTAGTATCATTGAATTGTTCTTACTACTCTTACTGGAAAAGCCACCTTGTTTTGTTTTTAAAGTAGGACTTGCTGGGGGGTTATGTCACAATCAATCTTTCGTACAAAGCCTGAAATATAAGCAAAGAGAAGTCATGCAGAAGACTCTCACTGATATTGCTATAAAAGACATGCGAAAAATGTTGGTTGAACAAAACGGTAGTCAGATATAAAGAAAGTGTCTCAAACTTCGTTGTCTTGTCCAGCCGCTTCCTCCCTCCTAAAGCGGTAGTTTTAGGAGTAGTTCAAATAACCACCAGAAACATTTCATTAACTTTTTTTTTTTTTCAAAATGTCCAGCTTGCCTTGTGTGCCGGTATGGTGTTTCGGTTAACAGAGTGCTTAGCTATTGACAACTTATGCTTTATTTAGGGTCATAATTTCAATATGTGAATGCTTTCTTTAAACGTTCTGACATTGACATTTGCAATACCATCCTGCCCACGTCCAATTTTTGTCCACTACCCTGCTGCCTGAGACCAGAAGACTGTAAATAAAGGAGAAGGGTCACTCTAGGAAACAATAAAACAATGTTGCATTCTTTATTAATCTTGTCGTAGCGTACACAACGCAAAACAAAATCCACGCAAATTTAAAAAAAAAAAAAGAAATCGCAGTTTTAGAACAAGTTATAATATATAAATACTCTTCCTCTTGGCTAGAGAGAAGAAGCCTATCGGCGTTATTGCGGACCTGCGACACACTGGCTCAAGCAACACACGACAACGACACGGGGTAAATCGGCGTCCCGACTGTGTGAGAGGACAGAGAGAAAAGAAAATGGCGGAGAAGAAAGGGGGGGGGGAATAGAAAGAAGGGAAAGGGGAAAAGGAAAAAGAGAAAGATAGAAAGACATTAGTGAGATAGAAGAAACACACCGTACTTTGTCTAACGTTGAAACTAAAGTCACCGAATGTTTGCAGGTACCATTTCAGCTGCGTCCAAACATCTCACTAAATTGTTTTTGGCAGCCATTTGGCCTCACACCAGCCAGCCGAAACATAGTATGACATGACAGGACATGACATAGCATGATATGACTTGACATGACGTTACGGGCAGACAGCCTGCAACGTGAGGTGCATACCTCACGTTGCAGGCTGTCATTCACTCTACCGTGGTGTATTATGAATTACACATGCCTTACTTTCTTGGACGTCATCGCCTCGGTGCAAACACTAAAATTAGAATTTCAATTGACTGAACACCAACAAAGCATCGCAATGTTCTCCGGGAATGTTTTAGATGACAGTCGTAAAAGATCAATAAGCAGTAATTAAACTTTTGGACGCGTATAATTATTTTTCTAAGGTTCTACTTTTTTTTTGCGTTGAATCATATGGGTTACAATCACAAAATTATAAATTTCTGACTGTCTTGACAAAAACTCATAATCTTCCCGAGGACTGTAATTGCCTGAGTATCATAGAACACAAATCAGCTATTTGCTCCAAAACGTCTTATTCTACAAAATGTCCCAGAAAGTTAGCCATGAAAAAAAAGTATTCATTGTCGGTTTCATTTCGGCTTACATAATTTACGTAACTCAAGCCTTTCCACGTAAGAGACAATAAAGAACACCCAAAAACGAATGCCCAGTGGTACCCAGTCTGACGTCAGCTGCGTTGTTGAGTGCTAGTAAGCAAAACACAATTATGTACCTTGTAAATATTCAGTGACTCTAGTTGCAGATGATTCAAAGTTGCAATGATTCCTCTATTATTGTTGTTACCTATAAACTGTCGCCAAGCAACGCTAATGAGAAATACAGTTCGTTGTACCTTTAAAATGTTTAATCAATCCCACTTAATTTCCTAAGGGGACACTTATACCTTAAAGTGACCCAAGATGCTCTGTTGACTAGAACTCACCCAAGAATTTGACAACAAAACGCACAACAACTAGAAATGTCCCCATGCATTGACTAGAATCGCAGGCTTCGTACCAGGATTTGTAACTCTCCTTTCCCTACAAACTCGAATTTGGTGCCCAAAATGGTAAGCAAAAAGGTTGACGGGGCATGTATATTTAGACAACCAGAATCACTCATTCTAAACTTCAAAAGGCTACGACAATTTTAAGCTCAACAACTTCCTTTTCTGAGAACAGGTGACCTTGGCAATTCAAACGATGTAAACAGAACTCATGTGTTATCGGCAGAGAGCTCAAGGCATCTTTAACCTATTAGTACACTGCAGAAATCTGAAAACGCCCTCACTAAGCAGAACTGTGAAAGGCTCTTTCATTAGGTTCGATCATAGTTCTAACCTAATGAGGTTTGCTCTATGCTTCATACGATCAGTTTCACGGGGCGTCGTATCAAAGGGGTAGTTACCTTCATCAAAGACAGCACACCGCCTAGAGACGTGTCGTGCCGGCCACGGGTCTTGGACCAATGTTAGCTTCAATAAACCGGGAAAGGATGCGTGCAGGAAGGAAAGAACACATTCTCCTATGTACACTGAACGTCCTCAACAAATGACGCCTCCGCCTTTGTCTGGCGTGGCCAATTGCTATGCCCAGAATATGCCGAAAACAACCATCGAGAGGCGCAGCTCTACATTGTATCACAGTGTTTACAGTTTTCCGTGCGTAATCGCGGCCTGTCGGATTAGTTTTGGTTAGTATCACCTCGAGTTACAGGGATGCGATACGGCTTTTTTTTTTTTCTTCAAAGCAATAAATAAGAAGTTTGCATGAGATAACATCTACACAAGACGCCATAAAATACGTATGTATAAGAAGCAATAAAAACATTGCAAAATAAAAAATAGAAAGCACACGAAAAATATGTCGCATTTAAAGGGCAATTGAAAAGAAATCCTATTTAGTTAAAAGTTAGAACTGGTTAAGAAATTGCGCACACTGGCGAATAGACATAAACACAACACAAAACCTGTCGCAATTGAAATATGAAAACAACTATTTTTGTTTTGTCAAAACGTTTACGCCAATGTTAACCTGTGTCACGTCTTTTAAAATTTCAAATATTTAATGATACTTCATAAATTATATTGAGAAATATTCCTAATCGTTTACACTAAACCGTATATTCGTGTGTACAACGCCGTTATATACACTGAATCAGTTCGACATTCCCAATGCACTTTTTATCGCTTTTCTTAACGCAAGAACTCAACTAACCTCATTCCTGAATTATCGTCCTACAATCTTTCTTCCTCTTTTATCTGTTTTATGCTCCACTAATGAATCATTCTAGACCTATTTGTTTTGCCACTTAATGCCTCATTAACCAATCAGCGGCAGCTTTAGCGAGGGAGATTAATTTTCGTATGTCCCGCGGTTGTTTTTGATGTCTTGATAAAAAAAAAACATTTTATAAAAACTGGACACTTCTCTTCCCCTCTCAGTTTTGCCCGGATCGAAGCGTCTGGGAAAGAATTAAACAAAAATGTTGACAAGCAGAAAAAAAATATGCTTTAGGAATGTCGAACTCTGCGCAGCGTTTTTGGCTTGGACTGACTGAACCAGAAATTAACGCTACTGTGGCCTGTCAGTGTGTGGGTTTGTTCTTTCAACCTTTTCCTTGTCTAATACAACAGTCTCCAAGAGACGTTCTAAAGTCAAACCAAGAGGCCAGACTTAATAGTATGCCTACCACCTATGACAGCGTTAATGCCAATAAACGAGTCTAGATCGCGTTGATTTATCTTGAAATATTTTCAGCTACACTTCGGTCTATCGGTTAAGCCGTGATATGCAAAATTGCGTTCAATGATAAACGGAGAGAACGCGGATGCCCAGCCTCGACCTTACTGGCAACCACCACCGTGGCTTTTCAAAGCATCGGCTCGACCACCTTTCCTACCGCTTCTTTGTTTGTTTCTGAAAGCTTTTTGTAGCTGACGAAGTCTTTTCAAAGCGACGCATCGCCACCTTGTCTTCTCTCCTTTCTCTCTTGTTTTCTTTGTTGTTTTTTTTGTTGTTTTTTTTTATCCGAAAGGTTCGGCAGCTGTCCAGCGGTAGTACCTTCGACTTTGCTACGCGAAACACGGGACGGACGCTGGTCAATTTCGAGCTAGCTTTCGTAATGACACAATTTTGCATTAACAAAGACGATGTTGACCATGCATAACCGAGACACTGACAAGCCACAGCGGGACGGACAGCGGTTAAAAGAGAGTCGACTCTATGGCGTTCTACAGGAATTGCGAGGAGTTAGGGGGAGGTCTGTAGGTAGCGGGAACTCCAGAGCTGGCATGGTGGTGAAGGAACTCCTGCGGCTCGTGGAAACCCCGGCTGACCGGCTTGGGGACAAACTTGGAGGGGGAGTCGGGCTGCGTCGGCGGCCAGGCGATGTCCCTGGTGCGTCGGCCGAGCGTCGGAGAATTCGCGAAGGGCGGCGTCCTGGTGCCCGACGTGGGAGAAGGCGGGTGCCAGGCGTTCATGGCGTTGCGGCTTGATGGCCGGGACGGGAAGCCTTCGCTGCCGTTGGACACGTTCGATTTCGGGGGCGGCCAGACGAACTGCTTTGCATCGTGTGAACCTAGATGATCAAATCACGGTTTAAGGGAGCACATCACGCTTCTTTCAGAAACGAAAAAAAACAACTATGTAAGCAAGCTGAGTCACGTTAAACCGCCTCTAAACTACTGCTTTCTAGTGAGAGTTAAAATAGTTGGGAGATAGAATGGCACAAACGTATACCTTTATGCCTGTGTTATATCGTTTCTTTGTGATATTTTACAGGCTCTGGTAGTGATCATAACTATAAGCAAATAATTGAAGAAAAATAAGATGTTTTAGTCTTTTCTTACAGCCAAAAACTTGGAATGGTTAACCCCCGGTGGCCTCTTGTGGTGGCTGACGTTTCGCTAAGAAACGGCTTCTTCAGGACTGCCACTCTAGCTGAAGCTATCAAAAACGTCTTTTTCAAGTTGCTCTAATCAATGAGCATAAATAAAGTGCGCAAACGAGCTTGTGTAGATTGAACATAATTACAAAAACCGCGAGACTAGAGTAAAACATCTTGTTCTAATCAGCTTGCAAAACCGCTGTACTATGTTTAACGCCAAGAAGGGATGTGCCTCTGAGCCTCCTTACAAATTAGGTAGCAGTGAAGAAGATACTTGCTCAAATATTATTTTTGTCAGTCACGTTATATAATTACGTCTTTATGATTTGGCTGCTCCAATTTTAATTTAGGCAGCACAAGTGTTTTATATGTGCGAGTTTCAAACCTGAAAATTTTACATTTCCTTGGTGTGGACCACTTCTCAAGACCTGTTTGTTGAAAACGTTTAATGTCATGACCTAAAGACACCCATGTCCTCTTGCCACTAATTCATTGCATCTCGTATGTGGACATGTCATGTAAAAGTAACGAATCTAATTGAACTTACTTTGGCGTGACAGATGTGGGGAGAATCCCGTCTTTGGCGTCCACCGCACGCTGGACTCCTGCAGGGTGATGAGTGTAATTAATTACCCTCCTAACACCCGCCCGTTACTCAAGTCACACGTAGCGCGTAAGTTCATAGGACGAACCTTGGGAGGCCAGCAGGTATCTCTGTTCCTCCGTGCAACCGAAGGCGACCCTAATGGCGTTCCTGGCATCCTGGACTGCTGTTCTTCCCTAATCTTGCCTTCCCAACGCTGCGTTTGTGAACCCACTTGCTCCTGGTGCAGAGGCGAGCTCGGCACAGGAATCGGCTGGTACTGGCGCTGTTGAGACTCCGACGCCGACCACTGCCTACTCACAGGCTGACGCTGTGCGTGCTGCTGAGCCCGCTGCTGCTCTTCGAATTGCCTCTGTCGGATAGCTTCCTGCTGCCTTCGCTGATCAGCAAGCTTCCTTTGCTCTTCTGCCCTCCTCTGCTCCTCAAGGTACCGCTGGTACTGTTGCTGCTGCTGTTGCTGCTGATACTGGTGCTGCTGTTGCTGCTGGTATTGCTGCTGGTATTGCTGTTGCTGCTGCTGCTGCTTCTGCTGCTCCAGCTGCCGCTTCCTCTCTTGCTCTTCGAGCAGGTACTTCTGCCGCTGCTGCTCGAGTATCTTCCTCTGCTCCTCTTCCTGCTGGTACCGCTGCCTCTGCTGCTCCTGTTCTTGTCGAAGCCTCAGCTGCTCCTGCTTGCGTCGGTTCTCCTCCTCCTGCAGAAGGCGACGTCTCCTCTCGATCTCCTCCTGAACCCTTCTCTGCTCAGCCTCGTCTTCGTAGCGCCGGATGTCCTGCGGCTGCTGGATCTGGTGCAGCTTCTGGGCCCTCTGCTCTTGCAACTGCCTGAAGCGCTCCTCTTCGTACTCGGCCTGCTTGAGACGTTCTTCTTCGTAGAGTCTTTGCCTCAGCTCGGCTTCCTGGACCTGCTGCCTGCGGCGCTCCTCCTCGTAGCTGCTCTGACGCGAGTGCTGCGACTGGAACGCTGGTGGCGGGTGGTAGGGAGACGGCTGTTGAGGCTGCTGGGCCTGAGGGTAGAAGTGGGGCTGCTGGATCGGGGGAGTGCCGGGAGTGCCCGGGTTCGAGAAGGTCACGTGGGTTGTTGAAGAGTACGCTCGCTCTTGCTGCGGTGACCCGCCGCCGTATGAAGGCGGTCGCGGTTTAGGGGGAGGAGTCGGAGGTGCAGTTTTCCTGGAAAATACGGGATTACCTTTGTTGAAAATGTTGCTTGAGCTAGATGCTGCTTCCAAAGCCTGCACGAATTACGATGTCGAAGACAATTCTTGCGGTGAAGCAAATTCTTATGGTGAAGCCTACTCCAGGCGACGTACTACACTCTAAAAAAAGCCTGTGCGTCTGCTTTCCCGCACAACACTATGGGAGCCAATCACCTCAACTTACGGAGGGAGCTCAGCGAATGACAATGCCGAAACATATGTTTAGACCAAAAAACGCAGTCTGAGATGTGACATTAAGCAATGCAAAACGTCACGCTTCCATTGCTTAATGTCACAACTCAGACGGCGTTTTTTGGTCTAAACATATGTTTCGGCATTGCCATTCGCTGAGCTGCCTCCGTTAAGTTGTGGTGATTGGCTCTCCGAGGGTTGCGCGTAAAAGTAGACGCACAAACTTGTTTTAGAGTGTACGGTGATCCGCGCTATATTAGGTTTACATCAAATATAAAACGGCAGTGCGGTTCGCGATGTTACCGGGCGATTCAACAATCGGCCTTAGGGCCTGACGTCGCTCGTTTTCCCGGTTTCTGTAAGAGACGATCATTATAGCGTTGTGCAAGCCCAAGGACATGTGATCGGTCAAGCTAATGTCTCGCCGCACTGCGTCCTGAGAGCTGAAGAAAAAGGGCATAAGCATTAATGTCGTTCGTAATTCTAATATTAATTTTGATTGTGTCACTCGGTTAGCTCATGTGATTCAAAGTGAACAACTTTCTCTACTTAAATCAGGTGTGTAACAAAACAGTTAGGAATCTCAATTTTGTCATGTACCTGTTACTGATGATGATGTGTAAACCAGTAGAAAAACAACAACATTGTGTGAGACATACCACAATCGCTACAATATTTCAGTATTTAATCAGGACCTAACCAATTCCTCAACTTTACACCTTGATGCACTGAAATTTTGTTTTCACAAAGTAAGTTCTTTTGTGTTAGACGTTGACGTAATCACCCATTATCTTAAAGAAAAATATTTTATGAGCTTTATTTTATCTTTCTAGACGTCTGTAATTGTGGAAAATATGTATCTCTGTATTGATTTATTTAGGAAAATCTCTTCTGCATTGCCTAGAAGTAAAGCTATTTGATTGCCTTATTTATTTTTACTATATCATTTGGTCTTGCAACGTACGTAAAAAACTGCACATTAAAATACGTAAAAAACGTCGTTCGTTCATCTGCTTGAGAAGAGTAAATGTCAGTCTTAGCACGCACGCAAGTTTCTACTAACGCTGCCTGTCGCAACATTGAATCATGTGAACATCGCTCGATTTGTTTTTCCTGGACAGTCCAGCTTTTCTTGGAATCGTGCGAATACGCAAAACATTCCCACAAGTCAGTCTTTTTACGTGTTTCTTGTTACACTTTGATAAGCACGTTGCGACAATCGCTTCCATTTGCGCTCAATCGTATAGCTCTAAAAGTGACAATACTTTATCTTACCTCTGCACCACTGTCGTCCCGTTTGCGGTTCGGTACGGATTTGGGCCTGTAGAGCAACAAAGGCACACATTAACATTATTTCTGGTCAAAGTTCGTTTCATTTCAATTCATTAAAGATTTCTAAATAGAGATAACATTCTAGTTTAAACTATTTGGAAATATTACATTCCTACTTGGGCGCTTCAGTAGGAGCTTGTTCTCTAGGTGAGGAACAAGACCCTGCAGGTTTAAAACGCTCCTTAATTAAAATAACGCGTGTACAGGGATCTTTCCTGCCTTTCAATAGACTTGCTCACAGTATGACTCCAATTTAGAAATAAGCAACGTAAAATCGGCACCATCTTAATAAAAAAAATAATAAAGCCACCCAATCTCAACTTGAAGCACCTTTAATTGGGAACATTTCTAGCCGCCCAAGTGCTCATCCAAATGTTTCTGTTTTATTTCTTGATGCACCTTTGATTGGGAACATTCCTAGCCGCCCAAGTGCTCATCCAAATGTTTCTGTTTTATTTCTTGTGCCCATGTTAAAACACCAACTCATTTGCTAAATTCAAAAAAAAATCTATTTTAGTATTAGTTATTTCAAAATCAACGAAACCCTTTTTCCTCCTACGAAGTTCAAAGTGCACCACTCCACAATACATTTCGAGCACCCAGAAATCACACCTTATAGAAGAACTAAATTGCTGGCATATCCCGTGCTGTAGGTCTATTAATCGTGTGCTGACCTTCAGCATGTGTACACTACTATAGTGCAGTTTGAGTTCAGAAAGAAACTTCCCAATAGCCCATTGCAATGCGGCTTTGCAAGTCAGGCCTGTAATCCATCTTATTAATTTTTCTACAGTGAGGTACATGAATCCATAAAAAAAAAGCTTTGAGCTTTTCCATTCTGGTAAAGAAGAAAGAGCAGCTGAGCTGTAGCTTCTGTTCTCGGCAATGACTTTCCAGGCGAGCGATCTGCTCTTCTTTCGCGAGGGTATCTAAAGCGCTCGACGCAGTGGAAGTTTAGGCGCTAGGGGCCTCGCGGTGGTTGCGGAACCATTCGCGCTGCTGCGCACATCGCCCGCTCGTTCCGTTACTCTTCTTCCTCCAAAGAAGTGTCGCCATCTATGAGCGACGGCAGCAAGCAGACAACCGGCAAACACAACACTCTGGACAGCTGCCGCCATCTATGAGCGGCGGCGGCAACCAGAGTGTTGTGTCGACCATGGGTGTCGACATTTGTTTGGTACCGGACACGATACTGGGGAGACTAGCCCTTAGCAACTCCGCTGTAAAAGGAAGATGTTGCGTTTTTCGCAGCACATGCGTTAGCAGCTCAAAACGTGCACTGACCAAGTGTCGACCACAAAAATATAAATTTGTCGCTTTCTCAAGGAGAACGCACCTGTGCTTGTGACGTCCTCACATAATCAGGAGAGCGTTTGCTTCTCGACGTTGCGGGTACGGGCAGTACTTTCAAATTGTAAGTTATTATTTATAAATTCTTTAACAGCATTTACATTAAACACAGAGCTTAACGGCAAACAGTGTTCTCTGAGAAGCAAAGGCCGATCTCACAGCTGCACTCCGTCGTTTGTTGTGCAAGCGCGCATCATTTAATGGTGTTCCACATATACAAGACCATCGTTCGTTTTAAAGCAGCACCCAAAACAAAACTTTACTGCAATCGTCTTTTTTTATTTGCATTTACGTTATTGACGGTTGATCCTATCAACCGCGGCGATGCGTTTTAACCTTACCCTTTTATTTCTTATATGTGTTTGTGTTCTTCAAGCAAGTGAGTGCTCTCTGGTCTACGGCAACACGATATATAAAGTTCTCACTCCGCTGATTTAAAGGGAAGCTACGGAGCTTCTTGGAAAAAATGAGTTAGAAGTGAATTCTAGTGTATTTTTACCCCGTGAACCCGAATACCCAAACCATTTGCTGTGCAAGTATTGTTAAACGCGAGAAAAACGCGAAAGACAGTCGCTGTCCGTGACGTCATCGACGGCTCTTTTGGCTGCCCGAGGCTAAGGAGGCGGGGCTTCAGTCCTATTTTGAAATTGCTCTTATCGCTCTCCGGTGTGTCGCATTGAAATATAATTTTGATATCTGTTATTCTAAAGGCCAAATGAACGCAATTCAAGCGTTTTTTCTCAAATGTAGAAGTGCCCCATCTTCCCTTTAAAGGGGTCATGAAACGCTTTTCCAACTTTTTCCTGTTTAGCTTTCCTCCTCAACTCATAAATCGCGCATTCCACCAAACAGTTAAAGAAGACGAAAAGGGGGAGTCCCCTCTTGCTCGCACTCTCGTTTGTGTAATCCGGACGCATCCATTCTCCCCCTAGAAGATTAGCCCGTCACTCAAAATTCAGACAAAAGTTGCTTTCCCCACCCCGTTGATTCCGAAGCTGACAGTGCTGTTGAAGCTACGTGCTCGTTGGGCCAGCCACACTTGCCACGTGAGCGTGGCGAATGTGGCTGCAGAGAATGAAGTCAGGTGATGAAAGGGAGGCGGCTGATTGGTCCGGCAAGCGCGTAGCATCCACCACAATGTCAGCTTAGGGGTGAAGGGAATAAGTGAGGTCCGGTTGCGTGTGACGTCAGTTTGGACCCGATGACACGCTTTTGGGACCGCGGATGTATCACAGTGAAAAGGCGGAGAGGTTGCGAAGGGGAGGAGGTACGAAATAGTCCGCTCTGTTTTCAAATTTTCGCACTGAAAGTCAGGCTTTTGACTTTCTATCTTTTTTCTTTTGGTCCACAGAACGATGTGCTATTAGTAAAATCCCAATCTAAAATGCTTTATCCCAACCCAAAAATCGTTTCATGGGCCCTTTAAGTAAACTAGCACTTGTGTGTCATCAAAACCAAGAAACCCGCGTTCTGTAGTTCAAAATGTATGGGCAATATATATATTTTTAAGTAACGTTATTTTTCTCGCCAATTTAAATAAAGCCTCGGGCAATCACTCTGCAAAATTTTCCAAGAGTGACGAGTTCATTGATGCAAACCTAACGCGGCAGGAAGTACGCTCTCGACCACGAAAACATCTATCTTGTCGTGTCAACCGACGCGACGGCAGTGCACGCAAAGCTGTGTCTATAGTCGCAAAGCGCAGCAATTCATCAGAGAAAGCGTGCATGCATCCCGTCTGGAGGCCAGTTACGACAACAATGTGCTCGTGTATACCTCACTCCCTACGCCGCCTGCGATCGTGTTTACGAGCTCTCTCAGTTCGAAAGTAAAAGCAAGCTAGCAAAGAGTACGTTTTTTGAGCGGAAGCCAGCTCGATATATCGCTAGCCGCGACGGGGTCGAGAAAATATTATAGGAGCCCGCGTTGAAGCGCCCGCAATCTGCTGCTCTTGGCACGGGCTCAGCCGCGCAGACGGCGCAGTGGAGGGACCCCGGGCTTCGCCTTGGGTCCTGCCCAGGTCCCGGGGAAGACGCACTCGGGGTTTATTTTGGTGAGGAAGGGGAACATTCCAGTGCACCCGAGTCTCCTCCGGGCAGAGGTTGCGGCGCACTGCGCTGCGCTTTGCTTCGACTTCGCCTTTCGGAATGTAGCGGAGGGAAGATGCAGCACGGAGATCGGGTTACGTTCGTCGCGTTGAGTTTCATCGGCGTAGCCGTCGACGGTTTTGCGGCCTTTGTCGGGGCGCATCAGTCACAAACTTTTTTTTTTTTTTGCGAGGTATTTTAAATATATTATTTACAACATACTTTTATTTTTACAGATTCGCGAGTTGCTTTGTGAGAAAATCATATGCGTGTTTTGAGCGGAAATACTGCTGAAGCTTAGTCGGTGTTTCATATCGTCTTCCAGTGCTCACATCGATTAAAGTGTGCATCATTGCTTGGCATAACTACACTTTATCTTCTTTTCCTTTTTTTCGTTTTAGAATTTTTTTACGCCATTAAATACATCACACTTCTATCATCACATACATCACACTTCATCACAATCTAGTATATTCTTTTTTTTCTTTTTTGCTCTGGCCATAGCATTCTTATACTATTACCAAACTTCTTTATATTCTTTAATATAATTCAATGTCGTAGGTATGAGAGATGTCACAATCGGTCCAGAGACTTTTTGTAAGAGCTACCCTCTGGTGCAATTTCCCTTTTTTAGTCTTAAAACTTCCCGTCGGCCTCACATATCTTCTTCATTAATTAACAAATCTTCTTTATTGATTCACATGCCTTCTTTTTTAATAATAATTGGGTTGTGTGTGTGTTTATACAGCCTAGAACTTGGTCTGCCTCACAGGGGCGACGAGTCTCCCAGCTGTAGATGAGCAATTTAGCCAGTGCAGTACAACCGCTAGCCTGGGGTCTTTAACGTGCATCACGCAGTACTGATACGCGACCGCACGCCGGTACGATGCTCATCCAGATCGAAACGGGCAGGGGTGGGGCTCGAACTCAGGATCCCTGGGTTCTGCAGCGCGAGCTTTCGCTCCACGTGCTCCGAGCTGGTGTGCGCTCGAACCACTCGGCCACCGATCCCCCTTCTTTTTTGTAATGTATGTATTCCGACTGAAATACTATGAATAATTAATTTTATTGCAAAGCATAAATGCATGAATTTTCATTAAGTGTCTTTACTCGGAAACTAATATATGTGATGAGACAACGACCATGCTTGGCCTTTCGTGCTCTTCCAGTTTCTTCCCAAATCACGTTGTACGCGCTATCAAATAGTTAACTTTTGTTGGACTCCTCTTTAGACATCTGTGGTTGGTCCTTCACGTGCTCCATGAACGCCGATGGGTACGCGAACATTTCGTTCAGTTACACGCGACTCCGTTTTTGTTCCCTAAGAATTCCAAAGTGATTCTTTAAAATCCCTAGATGAGAGCTTCCTACAAGTAGCGACATTCTTTGAAGCGCCGACTGCAGGTTTTAGGAAGCGAATGGGCGGCGCACAGCAGAGGTTTGAATTGGATGCCAATATTATATTCCTCCAGAACCCATTGCGCTAAAATGGATACTTCTGTATTCTGCACGCATAAAACTTCGTCGTTATCGACGCCTTCCTCAAGTTTCCACTGCTGGATCTACAATATAGCTACATTACCAAACGATATATCCGGCGATAAAACGACACTCTAATCTTAACATTATTGACGAAATCCCTGAGACTGGGAAGAGATCGGACGGACAAACCCAAAGTCTCAGTGTTTCCCATCCTTTTTCGTCCCAGTTTCTGGGTTTTAGTCAATAATGTTCAACCGTCACAGGCACCGTTTGCGCCCTAACCTTCTGTTCTTTAATACTATACGGAGCGCAAGTTCTTCGGCTTCTTCAGCATAGGTTGTTGTGACGTCAGAACGCCGAGCTTTGATTGGCTCTGAGTGAAGGATAGTGGGTAGACCTAAAAGCTATCTGCCTTGAGGTCTACTCACTATCCTTCAATCAGAGCCAATCAGAGCTCAGCGTTCTGACGACACCACAACCCCCTGCAAAAGAAGCAGACAACCTTGCGCTCTGGTTTCTTGGGCCTCTTCTAGCTAAAAAGCGCCCGTGCACTTTTTAAAGAATTTTTAGAGTGAAGGGGCTCAAGAAACAAAGGATCACATGTATCTTTTTCTTGTCAGTATACTGTATGCTAGCGTATTTCGATTGTAGTTCTAGCAGTGTAAGCTTTTACAGATAGCACTTGTAAAGCTTGTCATTCCAATCTACGGATGAAACTAGCCGAGTAACAAGACTTGCATACGTTTCGATCTGAAAGTGAATCATTCCATGTGAAACGCAGGGACATCTGAAATGACAGATCTAATTTTTTTGGTTAAAGCATCTTTGTTTTTGTTTTGTAGCAGCATAGTTCGCCAAGCATCCTACGTGCATTGTGTTAATAGGCTCTTCAAGTACCCCGCCGGCTAGTGCTAAGCCCGCGCTTCTTAAAGAAGCATTCGAGAGGACGCGTCTTCTGGTGGCGAACTACTTATTAAACATTAAAATTCTTTGTTTTCTCAATCACCTCAATTCTTCTAATGTGCAGTCGTATTCGAACTTAACTGTACAACTCCTGAAACATCTTTATCAATTTAAGAATTTTTTTAACGCAACAACAATGCAAAGTTTGGGGGCAGTAGCCATATTTTAAGGCCTCCTATATACAGTTATTACGTAGTAACTTTAGACGTACTTGTAGTACGCGTTATTTTGGTTGAGCACTCGATGCAGCAGGGCTGAGACCCAGAATAATGAGAGGCCATTTTGGTAGCCAAATTATAAACAAGGCACACATAAGGGAGCACCCACGTGGAGCATCACTTTTCTTCTGGAGGATGAATTTTCTGTTTAAAATAAGTAATTATCTATACGTCAGCCCTGTTTCTCACTTACCGCTTTCTTCTTCGTTCAGAGCCTGCAAGACAGCCGAGCGAACGAGATTCTGAGGCAGCCCCGCGGGTTGAATGTTATTCAGCCTGCACGGGGAGTGTTGGGAGGAATAAAGCAAATTAACAATGGACGAAAATGAAGAGAATGTGTGGAAGGCACAAAGTGCGTATCATAAATTGTTTTTTCGAGTAATCGAACCGATTTAGTGCGCAAGTGTATGACATGCACTTGCGCACTTTGTGAAATTATTATGAAGAAGCATTTATCACACTTAGTAAACACGTCCTCGCCAGCTTGCTTTGAAGACCTGGCATAGGCTAATCCCTATTCGGAAAGTTTATGAACTAAATCAATACAAATACATAATTATTCCTCTCAGAATATATTATACATTAAGTTTTATGCCTCACGTTTCCGCAATTTATTTAAGTATATAATTATATATACATATTTTGCGAGGGACTCGTTCGAATCCGGGGGATGAAATGGTATGGCCTACATAACGAACACCAAACGTTACGTCAAAGACTTAAAAGTGCACTGCCACTGACATAAGGGTTCGGGTGTTGGCATCCCAAGCTAAAAGTATCAACGCGCTAATTATCGCGACGTTCTCGGAAACAAAGCAAAAATATTTTTGAGCGCATTGGCAGAATGACAAAAACGTCCGTATGTGTGCGCGTGTGTAGTTAGGGCCTTTAACCTATTTTCCGCACCCACTATTTCGGTTCCGCGCGACCTGCATCGGTAATTTGTTACGGCCGTCAGCCTTCAGGATGCTTGGAGCCTCGAAAAAAAAAAAAAAAAACGTCTGGAGTTCTACTTTCTTATTGTTATTTTTGTCACGCAAGCGGCGTGAATCAGAGTCGGGTCTTTGTCATTTGTCAACGGCCTGCGCTGAGGCATTTGTCGAGTGAAAGGTTGAGTCAGAGCTCTGTTTTAGACAAGAAGCCTTTTTGTGCTGGTCTATGCTATATGTTTTGTTGTTACTTGTATTTTTTCCTGCTGGTTGACACTCCGCGTGCGTAACTTGAGAAAACTTGCTTCGTCTACCATACGATTCTCAAAACCGCAGGGTCTGTTCTAGGAATTTAGGAATCTCCACGATTCGCAGTTTACTCATTATTTCTGCAGATGTTCTCTCTTGCCCATTAAAATTTTGTGGGCCCATACAAATACCGCGCATTTATGCATGTAATGACACCGTAACGCTTTTTTTTTTAAGAAAACGTTTACGATTGAGGTGTCAGTCTACAAGAACTACTGCCTTCGAATGAAGATGTACTACCTGCCACACAGTTTGCTTCGTGATTTGTTTAATCGCGTTCTTATCGGCGAATGCAGCAACCTTATCTAATGCCGAGTGATGACCAGATGCTCGGAACTTGCCCCTCTTCGCGTTTTTTTAGAGTTGTCAGTGAGTATATTTTACGGCAACAATTCAAGTGAGGCGAACGTTTGGCACCAGGCACAAGTGAAAACAATGCTTTCCTATCTTCACCTCAAAATAACGTAACTCGCGCTATAGTAACTGACGGCTTAAGTAATACAGGACGTAGCAATGGTCGAGCTTCTTTTTATTGCTTAGCAGCCAATGAGATGGCTGCATTATTCAAATAAGAACGTCAAGGAACCAATCATAGAGCCAGAAATCACGCCCTGCGCTCTTTAGGATGTCAGTAACAATAGTCATCAATACCGGAAGTCCCTTTTCTGTAACACAACACTCCTTTGTGTCATGCTTGCTCCCTTTTTATGGGGCAGTGCGGGACGCATTATTTTTAGAAACAAAATGCTACAGGGAAAATGTCTTATTGGTTGCTTTATATTATTCCCTCATTTAAAATACCAATACCTCTACATATAAAAAAAAACTGAGAATGCCGACTTGATGTTTTTTTGGCGGTAAATGAAATATCTTGTCCGGTGCTATTGCTTTCCGATCCTCTCGGTGGCATGCTTCGAGGAATAGAATCCGCTGTTGGCTCACCCGTCCTCTGTTGCGAGAGCCTGGGCGTGGTATGCCAAGGTCTCGGCAACTTTCTCCTGCGAGTAGAGGTGCAGTGGCGAGTTGTACTGGTTATGTACGACCGCTTTTACTGTGGGGGGCTCTCCCTGTAAAAGAATAAATAAAAAATACGAGGAATTACGTTTTGATGGAACGATGCGCTTGACTTAGTTCTCCAAATGAAACAAAATATAGAAAACCTATCATGGGAACATTACCAGGCAAAGCCATTTGAAGTTCAAGAAATTAAAGAAACGAATACAAAATTGGTTGGCGAGAAGTGCGTCCGATCTCCAAGAATTATACCGAAATAAGATAAGCAGTGCAGCTGACAACTGCAGTCACAAGCATGTTAAAATATTCGAAAGGCGACAGGCTGAGCGACCAGGTAAGTTAAGAATGGCATCTTAGGAATTATATTGTTTTCAAACGCACAAAGATACTTTGTGCTTTCAAATTTGCCGTGTCTGAGATGGCAGAGGTCTTAAAAATAAGCAAATATGAAATATTACCATGTGCGTATATTTTCGTAGGTTCCAACCAAAACGGTCGTCGCTGCAGAAGGCTGCTAAATACTATTTTATTTTTTTGCTTGTGGCCCCTTCATTATGTTCATTCTGTTCCTTTCACAGATATTATGTCGTCATTCACATCAGAAGATGTTGTGTAAACTAATTAGCCGCTCACAGCACTCTAAAAATATGTTTTGGAAAGGTTCAAAATAGAATCTTGGGCGTGTTAGTTAGGCATGATGATTAAGAATGTTTTTTAACGCCCCAAGAACTCTTGCAGCTTGTGAAGAACGGTTTCGCCTTGAACACTATCGCAGCCAACGGGGCAATGAAAAACTCTATCATCGAAAAAGCAGCTTAAAAGAACCCCTTATATTTATTATTTTTACGAAGAACCCTTTTAGCGGGTGCTGAAAAGAACCTTTTTATGGTGCAAAATATGAAGAAGGAGAAAAAACCCTAGAAATTCTTTTACGACCAGTTTTTTTTTTCTTTTTTTAGAGTGTGAAATTTAAATATGTTAGGACGGCTAAGTACTGTAATGTTTTTAAACACTGGCGTCTACGCATAGATATCTAAATTTGGCTAACATTTAGCTTCATTCATTCGCATGACTGAACCACAGGATGTACATCACAAGAAAGAACATCAGCTCTAAAAGCAGCACCACGCGGCTTCGCGTGTCCTGAAACCTCTGGACGAGGGAAAACTACGCAAGACGGAAGAAAGGTAAAACTTCCTGTAGAAAATAGGATGTTCTGAATTTGGCCAAAAAATATGGGCATAAAGCTGCCACGCTTCAAAGCTTCACTTGAACAATTGACGATAGTAGTCAAATGTGGCCTGGGTTCAACAAAATATCGGCACTGCATTAAAAAGCATTAATAACGTAAAACGTTTTTAGGCTAGGCTTTTCAGATTAAGTAAAGCCAGAAAAAGCTTAACCGCAAGTTTCCCCGCTAAATTTAGCTGAAAAATTTAATTGGTGTTTAGATCACGTGACATCAAGCCATGTGACATCATTTTGGCCGCTAAATAAAGCGGAAAATGGGGTGGGGGTGGGGGGTGGGGGGTAGGCGGAGTCAATGGGGTGGAGAGGAGTGGAGAGTCCTGGAGTCAGAGCTCGAGGAGAAATGCCTGGAGGTTACTAGCGCTAAACCAAACCTAACCGGTGATTAGTCAATGAGTTGGACAGGAATAGGAGGAGTCAATCGGTCAATGAGTCCATAGGTTGGAGGGGAGTGGGTGGAGTCAATGGGGTGGAATCAGTTGGGTGGAGAGGAGTAGAAAGACCTCGAAGCCGACCTCGAGAAGAAAAGCGTGAAGATTACTAGCGCTAAACCAAGAACATTTCACGTACCAATACAAGTGCGGGGCAATTCGCGATACTTTTTTTTTTTTGTCCTTCATCGTTCCTTTTTTTTTCTTGCAAAAGTAACTTGAGACCATAAGTCAGAAGTTTGGGAAGATGCTTCCGCTGCATAAGCCCCCTAAGAAATATGCGTTCTTCGTGGCTTTGTTCAAGCCACATATAACGGCGAACATACAAGCATGTTTTAAAAGGCGAGAAATGAAAGGAGCTTACCCTTCTCGGCTTCTGGAGAAAATCTTCTCTGTAAAGATAAAAATGAATTGCCAAGTAAGATTTTGCGCATTACAAATTCCAACAATTGCAGAATAACGTGTCGTCTACAATAGCAAAAAAGTTTGAAATAAACGGTGATGTCTTTTTTTTCTTCTAGTTATCCCACAGGTATACATTTATGGAGCACAAATTATAAACCTATACATTTTTTTTTGCAATTATAAAATCACGTTAGCATGCGATACTCTACCATTCTGTACTATTTAAAACTAATTAAAGACAGGGAGATATCTACTGGGTGGGGCTATAGGGAAGGAACTATGAAAGTCGGCAATGAAGTGCCAAAAAGCTGCTCTTACGCAGACTCAAAGTCTTTGTGACGCGTACGAGAAATGTCCATGAGGAAATCCAGCAAGAGAAATAGCAGGGCAGTTCCATACACAGTGAGTTCCACAACGCACCTGAAACTTGCATCGTGTTAGTCAGCCAGGCGCTACAGAAAAGGTGCACTTTTCTTTTGGTTTACGGTTGGTGATCTTGGGGAATTAGAGTATGTGGTTAATTGGTTACTAAAAGTTAAGATCACCAATGAATCTCCTTCAAAGGGGAAAATGCCTAAAAACTTATCCTACTGCAAGACGTTTTTGTTGTGTTCTTTTACTGGGTGGTAAGTGTGTGTTATCGCTCATGTCTGTTGACGTCTTCCTAAACATATTTAAATAATCCCTTTACACAGAAGTAATTTTACACTTCATGGGCCTAGAAGAATCACACTGTAACACCAACACGGAAGACAAACTTGAACGAAAATGATAAAATAGAACGAGCTCAACTTATCAAATCAAAGTTCTGCGATCGGATTAAGGGCTCAAAATTGCACTTCTGATGATCATCTTCACTAATATTATTCACGCGGCAATCGGAGTTCAACGTTATAAAGCACCCCTGTCCCCTGTTATGATTGATGTTATCAGAACTTCGAAATAAAGTAAAGAATGCTTGAGCAGTCATCAGTGGACGATTGAACATAAAATGTTACATTTAAAAGACAAGGTCACAGCTTCGAAAAATGTACAAGTCCGCCAGTCATGGTTCACTAATATAAAATTAACGGTAAGGAAAAGCTACATTGCATTGACAACGTTTCCGGTCTCTGGTCAGAAAGTAACCTAGTGACTCAGAGACGGTGGAATCTTCCAGAGCAGGAAAGGACCAAGGTCGGCTGTACGCGGACCTCCCCCAGATGTGGCCAAGAAGAAAAGGGGGTGGAACCAAAAAAAAAAAGAAATCAAAGCTGTACCGCTTGTTTCATTTGGCACCCTTGAAAAAGGAAGGGCGAAGGGGTTCTCTCGAAATAGCCCTTCTCAGTTCCAGCCTCTAAAAACCTTGGAACCAACACAACTGCAGCCGTCTTTCAGGACTGTTCCTCGAAATGAAATTCGTCTTCGTTAATTATTTTGCTTATATTGTTGCATTTTTGCCACCTAATTCATCACGTCAGTTCAAGCAAGAATGGGACAGTTGTTTCTATCTCCTGTGACTATCTATAGTAAGTGGCAAAGTGAGAACGGCAGGGCGTGTCTTGCGAACGCCCTGCCTCCAGCGCGCGCTCCACGCCTTCCGCAGTGCTTTGGCTGCGCGCTCAACGTGCAGTAGACGCCGAAGCGATGTCGAAGGTAGGAAGCTCACGCTGAGGGTAGGACAATTGAAGTTCCTTCCTGTCGTACTCACCTTTTTAGTAATTAATTTATAGCACATCTTTTTTTTTTTTAACCCTCGAGAACGAAACAGAAAAAATAAACTCAATGGTGTTTAGCTGATGACTTTAACGTTTATAATTTTTATTGCTTGCCCTCGAAATTTATTTGTATACTAGGTATTCACTGGACGCCATATTTGAAGGCGCTCTTTAGCGCGCGTTCTCAGAACAAACTCACATTAATAGGCTGCTAAGACCGGCAATATTGATAATGTAGAATGCACGTTGCAAAAAGACTGTGCGAGCTCTGCATAAGCACACACTCAGCAGTCGCGTACACAGCTATGGCTGCCAGTGAACACTCTCTTTAGGAATACATGCTTCCAAGAGACTTCTCAACGACTATTCGCTTAGGCTAGTCGATTGCAGTGAATAACTGAGGGTGAATATTTATTTTTGCTTAGACCAGCACAAGCAAAACAAGAACGCCGATTTCTTGAATTTCCTCCCAAAAAATAAGAATATCGACATCGAAGCAACTCCAATAACACGTGTGCTGCGTGTCGTTCATATTCAAATATCACTTTTTGATTGTCTTGAGGGCGAGACCTTCCATTGCATTTACTGCCTGATAAAAACCTCATTGCAACAAAAACTCTATTAATTTTTCCTTTCTTCCCCGGAAACGACATTAGTTTCCTGTTTATCTGGCAATGGCGCTAGTGTATTACAAGAAAAACCATATCAAGCAAACGAAGCCAGAGCACAGAACAAAACAGCGTGGCGTCTTGGCCAGATGCCACTTTTCAAAATGTTTTCTTTTTCTCTGTGTAACTTTGTAACATGTATTTTATGTGCGTCTTCTTTCGTAGGGCACCCATCTCGCAGGCAAAACTCCTGAGTAGTTGCTTAAGCCTGTGACAATATTGGCAGGAATGTGGCGGTGACCAGCCATGCCCGAAGCCTGCTACACGGTCATTTTTTTTTCTGTTAATATTTTAACATGATGCTGCTTAGCTACCAATGTGAAGGGTCTATGAAGTCATCAAGCTGCAAAGCTGCAGGTTTCTTTCCACAGCTCCTTTATCTGTAATTGTACACGATGAAAATAAACTGATTTGATCTGATTTTGATTTTGATTTTACGGTAGAGTCGCTGACAACTTAAGGAACGCTGGGCGTTCCTTAAGTAACGTCAGAGCGACGCCGAGTTCTGAATGGCTTTAATTGAAAGGATAGTGGATTCATCTCAATGCTTGACTGCTCCAGGTCTACCCGCATTTTTTTTTTTTTTTTTCACTCAGCGAATAAGAGTTTAGCGTTCTGACATCATCCCAACCCCTCTGCAAGAAGCAGACGAAATTGCGCTTCGCATTTTGATCACACTCCCTTCTTTGTCATTTTTTCTTCGGCGATCTTATCAAATGACGCTGCACTCTTATTGACTGCGGAGCGCTACAGCCAGGTGCGTTTTCGGCATGCCCTATTATGTCGCGTTTCCAAGTTACAAGCCTTTTGCACCCTTTCCGGTCACTACGTATCCTTTGCACACTCAACCACGCAGCTTTGTAGGGGGCGTACACAGACAATCGATTACTTCTATCAACGAAATAGCATGTGCGATTTACAACTTGTAGATGGCGTTGCACCACTGTTTATCTACACAGCTCACATATTTCGTGAAAACGTTAATTTCGCAGCGTCATATGCGGGAACCTTTATTTTTTCTTTTTTTTAGAGAGAATTTATTGGCTTTTTGTGAGCTCTGAAAGAAAGGCACGCTGGCCTGGTTGGCGCATTGCACCTCCTCCACCACTACAGGTCGCTTGTAATACAGAGTTCAATAGCTATAAATTAAAGCCTGTGCTCCGGCCTATATAAGCGAACTACGCATTACAGATAGCTGGAACTATGTGCGAATGCGACGCGAGCGGTACAGATAAAATGTGAATGTTTGAGAACACAACGTTACCTGGATTAAAATAAAGATAAAAAGTAAAATCAAAATTTGTCTTTAAGCCAACATCAACTAGGCCTAATATTTGTCAAACCAAGAAGTTGCATTTTGGGAGTCTGCGTCCATTATAGTGAAGAACTCAGCAAGAAAGATAATTTTGATGTTGTATCTTTCAAGTTCGTTTTACTAAAATAAATGCTACGGACGCACTTTTTTATATTTGACGGTTTCGCCAATCCTTAAATCAGACGCCTTTGTGACCAAATTTCTCACTTTTATTCTGCAAATACCTTGCTCAGATTACCATAAAATTTACGTTCTAACAAGAAAGACAGAATCTTTTAGTTTCATACATGTAATGCATACGGTTATTTACTTCTTTCTCAAGATTACCATAAAGCTTTCAATATTTTTTTTTTTTTTAGATTTTTCAGCAAGGTATTGTCTGAGGGTGGTTTTCTGAAAATAATCGATGGGCAAAATATAAAATACTCTATAACTCCAAAAGAACAACGACAAAACACCCCTGACCTATTTTTATGGTTAAACCAACTGAAATATGTACACCCGTATTATATGATCAGACTTATTTTTCATTACAAACACTCAACTGAAAACAATTTTTCTATGTCATAGACAGGTTAAGGACAGCAGGGCGTGGCTCCCTACACTCTAAAAAAAGCCCATGCGTCTACTTTCCCCCACAACAGTCGAAGAGCCAATCACCGCAACTTACGGAGGCAGTTCAACGAATGACGATGCCGAAACACAAGTTTAGACCAAAAATCGCAGTCTGAGTTGTGACATTAAGCAATGCGAAACGTCACACTTGCATTGCTTAATGGCACAACTGAGACGGCGTTTTCTGGTCTAAACGTATGTTTCGGCACCGTCATTCGCTGAGCTGCATCCGTAAGTTCCGGTGATTGACTGTAAGAGTGTCGTGCGGGAAAGAGGACGCACGGGCTTCTTTTCAAGTGATGGTGACGTTTGTCGTATGGCGATGGGCTTCTGATTCTTCCCATAAAAGGATGCTGCGATCTTGCTGCCCAATAAAAATCCTACAATCAGGGTTGACCATGTCACGTTATTTTTTTTTTTAAGATTTCAGTGATTATCCAGCGACTGTCACAAAACAAAAAATTCAGCATTCATCTGGTGGCTTAAACTGGGGAAAAAAAAACGGAACGTGAACATTTGGGCTGCAATGCCGAAAAATATTAAGCTATTTTTTTTTCAACAACATAAGAAGACCAAATGGTGACACCTTTGGTGCCACAATAAGACTAGAAGACAAGGATGCACTTACGGCGGTAGCTCGAACATCCCGACGTGCGTTGCGGTGCGAGAAAGCGCACCTAATTCGAACGACG